CTAAATAATAGCCCCACTACAACTAGTAAACAATAACCTATCAGTACAATAAAAAATGATACCCTAATTCAACAGAGTTAAGCTAAAAAAGTGGCTTGAGTGAAATGTACACAACAAGTAGGCTATGACATCCATTGTAGAACTAAAATATGCACTCAAACTATCGTTTATGAGCATTATTTCAATATATAAAGGCTTTGCAAAGTCCTCCGAGGGATCATTCAGCTACTTTAACAAACGAATAGGCTACTGTGATTGTTTTACTTACCCTGGCAGCCATGAATGCAGCGAAACAAGGGTGAGGACAGCCGGATGTGACGTTTATGACGTTTCCTTATGGGATTTTATATGTGTGCATAGAGGAGTTTCGTATCCAGGGGTATATAGTTATCTATGATTAAATTATGCTGAAGCATGTGAACCAAAATTTCTGACCTTCCAAGCTCCTCCTTCTCCTTGGGGGGGGGGGGGGCGAAAAATGACTACTATTAGAAGATGGCCAATTGTGAGGTCTGTATCCAAAGTTAGTATCATAGGTACTGCAGGAAGAGGAGCTGACAGTTCTAAACTGAATAAAGAAATATACCTCAAGGCAATAGAGAAAGCAAAAGAGATCATTACTGAAAGGTTTAGACTGTCCTTGAATAAAGTAGAGCTAGTCAGTGGTGGAGCAGCTTGGGCAGGTTAGTAGGATTAATAATTAGTAGAGTTATATATACAACAATTTCAGATCACATTGCTGTGTCCTTATACTTACTGGAAGAAGTAAATAGCCTAACGCTACATTTTCCGACAAAGCTCATCACAAAAGATGACAAACCACATTTCCTTGACACAGGAGAGAAGAATTGGAAAACAAACCCTGGAAGAACAGCCAACCTTTATCATGAAGCATTTTCAAACGAGATTAAGGACAACAGCTTAAAACAGATATACAGTGCCATTGCCATTGGAGCTAAGTACAGGGAACATAAAGGATTCCATGAAAGAAACTCGTTTGTAGCAAAAAGTGACTACCTGATCGCCTTTACATGGAGCGATGGGGAGGAACCAAAGAAAGGAACTGGTACTTATGACACGTGGAAGAAGTGTAGCAAAGGAACTAAAAGAATACATGTACCATTGAAATCATTAGTTGATAGCCCAGCAGCAGTGGAACCAATGGAACCATCGACTAAAAAATAACAAAAAACTCAAAGACACATTGATTATAACTATAATAACTAAATCACTACTGAAGCATTAGTAATAATAATAGTAATATGTATTTTTATAAAAAGCTACTCTAAAAGATTCAGCAGCAGCAGCAGCTAGTATATGACTATTAGGTGTTCATCAGCTATAGACTGTTAGGTGTTCATCAACATCTCATCGATCATTCCTTTCATGTCTTTCTTTTTCAATACAAGACCGCCCAACACCTTTGCCTTATGCAACGGATAAAAGTCTATGTCATCATTCTCAAACTAAGAAATGAACATAGCAATGGGATCATGAAGCTTATACTCTCCAGCTGTACCTTGTCACTGACGTACTTCTCAATGGCATTGTGATCATGAGGAGACATTGACTTGATGTGGAGTATAAAGTACATGTAACTGTAGATATTATGATCACAATGGTAGTGTTTAGCAAAACCCTGCATGAATATAATAATAATAATAATATCAACATATAATAACATCAGGAATGATAATAAACATTGTTAGGAGTCAAACCTTTCCTCTCCTCTCAAAGTCATCATTGTCAATGCCACAGACAAAGCAAACACTTTTCTGATCCTTTTCAGCAGTGTCCTACATATACACATCATAATAAGAGGAAATCATTATTTATGAAGGATTGGATAGTGAAACCTTTTCTTGTCTAAGTTCAGAGAATGTGTCCACAAGAATAGCAGTTATGACTTCAAGGGAAATGGTTGAAATGACAACAAAGAATATCAGATCAAACACTGCCCTCCATAAATAAATATTAAAATTGGCTCCATTTTGTCCAACATGAGTAACTGAAATAGCCTATACAAGATTATTAAACAATTAGTATAAAATGGACATGCAATAAACAAGCGTATTTGTGTAAAAATATTCCTATAATTGTTTTCACCACCTTGCAAGTACAACAGGGTTCTTATTAAGACTTATGAAGGTTCTCTCTACCTTCTAATGCTTCTAAAGAAGTCTTTAGACAGTATCTCTATGTTCTTTCGCTGTTAGAAAGCTCATAACTTTGTCCCATATGCAAGCCGCCATCTTGTTTGCCGTGACCACACCCACTTACGTAGCGTGGGCGGGTAGTTGCTAAGGCTTGTTATTTCTCCAATACAACATGTATAGAAGAAATGTAAGTGTTGACATACAAATATATATATATCACACGTGGGTGAAATAAATTATAGGAACGACCTGGGGGCTTCGCCCCCAGGTCGTAAAAACATACTCCAAAGCCATCAAGCAGTCCTTCCCTGATAACAGTGATATAACACTCCCAGAGTGTAGTGCAGAACTGGTTGTTCTCTCCTGGATTAAAGAAACTGGACATTATAGCAAACGAAAGAACAGCATATATCAGTAGGAGAGAAAGAATGAAGCAGGCCATTAGGAATAGCTGTTTACCTGATAAATAAATATAAAATTGTAAATATAAATTATGAAGTGATTTCAGTAGCAAGTACATGTACATGTACATGCAAACTAGCTTACTACGTCTGCTAATAGCTTTCACAATATCCTGCATCACATCAATATTTAGGAAGATGTAAGGGAGACAGAGACAGTAAAAGTACCCAAAAGTTCCAATACTTAATAATGAAAAGAGTAGAAACAGCACTCTGTATATCGGGGAAAAACTGAATAAATAAATATCAAAACATTCGCTGTCTTCAGATTCCTTAATAGTATCAATCCACTTGAACTTCTTGGACAATAAAGGTATGTCATTCCTAATGCAGTTCTTAATTCCATTCCTATAACCAATAATAATAATCAGTGGATCACAGTATATAACAGCTATTATTAGTAACACTTACACAACAGCTTTAAAGAGAGGTACTTCATAAAGGAAGTTAGGTTTCTCACAGACAAAGTATTCAACGACCATCCAAAAACTAAGAACAAAGTGGATCACTCCAAAGAAATAAAGAATGACGTATTGATATGCAGACCAACAGTTCCATGGACGAGGTATCAGCAATAAACCACTGACTGTGACATTGGGATCAAATTCACTAGAGAGAGGGGAGGAGCTTATTAATTAATATTAATCAACTTTAACAGTTTGTAAAAAAATCCAAAATTGATCAGAATCAGCTGAAGCTTTCTTATACAACATACATTTGTAGAACAACAGAAAAACTATAAAAATGCATTTTGTCAACACTCGGTGAATGATCCTGTGTATAGGGACTTTGGTCTGATTTTAGAGTAACTTTTAATATTCATAAAAAACAAAATTATTATTATTGTTATTATTATTATTACCAGCTGTATGACGGTATCTGAAATATTCCAAGTACAAAAACGTTCAGAAAAACTGTCAACAAAATTAAAAACCAGTGCCTCAACATACTAAGGAAAGATCAGTCAATTAATTAATTAATTAATTAATAACTTACGAAAGAAATGATACCACTCTCCATATGTGATGTTTTTCAAGTTCTCTCTAATTTATTATTATTATTATTATTATTATTATTATTATTATTATTATTATTATTATTATTATTATTATTAATTCTAACCTTATATTCATGTTTTTTCAAGAATGATTTGGTCCAGCTAGAAAGGTCCTTTGCTTTATCCTCCACTGAATCACGATTGATGTTAGCCTGAAGGATACTCTTCTCCCCATCACTCATACACCTCTACAATACAAATGATAGTAAGTTAGTAGCACATATAAATGTGTATATTTACAAGTACATGTAACTGGAATATCATACTG